TTTTGATGATGACAAACTTAAACATTGATAACGTGTATTTAGAGCAAGGAGAACCAGATAAAGTAACAGGAGCTCACAAGTTCCCCCTGACTTTATGCGTCCCTTTTTTAGCCCAAGTGTGTCAGTCTTGTGTAATGAGAATATCTCTCTACTCCAGTGTCGTATCGATGAACGGTTAAATGCGTTAGAAACTAGACTCCTAGATATTCAATTTGGTAGGTAGATCATCCCATAATTCCAAGTATATTGGTAGAAAAGCTCAGCTACATTTGACCTAAGTTTCAAAACATTTATGAATAGAATTTGTGATGACATTTTTCAACTTTTGTTCCACAACTCGCTTGACTTCAAAAAATAACACACGACTATCATACGACTAAAATAACTCATAAAATAATTTTCTTATAATGTTAAGAACCCTAGTCTCACCCCAAAAGTACATGTTATAACATTCCAACTTGTCGACTTTCGACGAAACTTATTTTCTTCAATTCGTTTAGCTTCTAAGGCTTCAAACCCTCTTGGTACTTGGTATTCATGATCTTAAATATTTGTAATCTCCACGTTAACATCATTAACTAACTTTGTAAACTTTTCAAAGATGATTCATTTCCGAGCTTACATCAATTGACTTACAACGTACTCTTATGTACGAAAACATGGGGTGTAACATTTGGCCTTAAAATGAGGGAGATATGATGTTTTGATGTTTAAAATAAAGTCTGAAAATTTAACGGATAAAAATAATATTTTCGTAATTATTTTAAACCAGAAAATTAGCAACGAAAGAATTTTTGTTTTAGCACCCAAAACTCATTCGGAATCTCCCAAACACAAACTATATACAGTCAGACCTCTCTATAACAGCATTCCTATATAACAGTCATTCACTATAAAAGCCTAGTTTTTCTCAGAACCGATTTTCAATGTTATATTTTACCTCTCTATAACAGCATTCTGCCTATAACAACAACATCCATCTTTATGACAGTATACTCTTTGTAAAATTATCATTCTATACTAGCCATGCAAATTTTCTAAGATTATTACTAATAATAATGCTAAATATTTAAGCAAATATTTTATAACTTTAATGTACAACTTATAATAGCTATATATATTATCTTAAGGATAGTAGTATGTTCCATGAACATATACACATCAAATATTTTTATAACTAAAGATCTACAAATGATATATCTTGCATTAGAAAAATGCCAAAAGATACTTAAAAGATCTATTTATACTTTTTGAAGATATGCATATCATTATTTTTTTTATTTGAAGATGTACACATGATATATCTTATATTGGACAATTACCAATAATATGTAAATATAATCTATTCGTATTTTTTAATTGTGTGCCTTAGAGTTTAAATATTTGTGCGTTTAATTAAGAATTTTTTTAATAATGTATTAGATTTCTTTAGAATTTAATTCGTGAAATATTTATATCTTTTGAGATTTTGAATTAAATATTTTATTAATCTTTTATATAAGATTAAAAAGGAAAAACAATTAGTTTTTGGATAATTTTTGTCTATAACAGCCAAAATACATTTAAATGTCAAATGTTGTTATAGGTGTATCACAGTCATTCACTATAAAAGCTAAAAAGTTTCGGAACAAACGATGTTGTTATAGAGAGGTTTGACTATATGCGTATCAATCATAAAACATGCTACGAACCTGCTCGTGCACTCAAAATACTGAAAAGAGGTCCTCTTGACCCAATATTGACTATGGTCAAACTCCATATCCTTAACTTAACTAGTTTCTCAACCAATGATCCAAAACACACCCGAACCCCTTGGGACCCCATTCAAACATACCAACAAGTCTTAAAACACTATACGAATCACGTATCGTACCTCAAATCAAACTTAATGAACTTTCCACTTCCAAAACTCGTGCTGAACCATATCAAATCAACTTAGAATGACCTCAAATTTTGCACGCAAGTTTCAAACGGCATAACGAAGCTATTCCAACTCCTGAAACCAAAATCTGAACCCAATATCACCATAGTTAACTTTCGGTCAAACTTATGAACATTTCAAAACTTCAAACTGCCAACTTTCTCCGATTAATGCTAGAACCTTCAAAAAATATCCAAATGCAAATCCGGGCATATGCCCAAGTCCAAAATCGCTATCCGGACCTAAGAAACCATCAAAACTCCAATCCGGGGTCAAAATACAAAAGTCAAACTTGATCAATTTTCTAACTTAAAGTTTTCTAGTTGAGAATTATTCTCTCAAACCAACTCCGGACCATCTGAAAACCAAAACCGATGATTCACACAAGTCATAATACCATATGAAACTACTCAAGGCTTCAAACAAATGAACGTAATACAAATGCTCAAAACGACTGGTTGGGTTGTTACATAGTCGCTCGTATACTTGTGATACCAGTTCTGGAATTGCATCTAGATATCATTATTGTTATAGTTTTCTCACTCGATTTCAGTTTATTTAGTTTCTTGGTTATTATTTAATCTGAATAGTTAAAAATAGCTCAAAACTATTCTAACGTTGGTTTGTCTAGCAAATGAAATGTTAGGCGTCATCACAATCCCGAGGATGAGAATTTTGGATCGTGACAGCTAATCTTAGATCCTCCTAGGCAAAGAATGTAATGTAATTGACTTTCTTTCGCCAGTTACATCGTCCACACAACACTAACAACAAACTACAAATGTATTGATATATGTACATCGATCTCAATAGTTATATTGATATGTACAATAGTGCAAATAGCTTTTACATTATTAGTGTTAAAACGGTGGCTAGACAGGAACTTTGCGAAAGGTGTTCTTACTATAAAGAAGCCAATAATTTTTTTATGAATGGATGCATTGAAATTTTAAATCAAACCACGCATTAGCTAAACCATAAAAATACTTTATAATATAACTACAATTTTATAAATTAAAACTTACATAAAAAGGATAACAATAGAAATTCTATAATAAAATAAACATAGGACCAAAAGAAAGAGAGAGACGAAAGGGTTTGTAGAAATCTTTTTGTTAATTTTGTTTTAAGCTTGATTTTTAAATTATAAAATAATAAATAACTTTTAGTTTAAAAACTACTTTTAAGATTGCTGGTTTGTTTCTACACAAATATTAAGCTTGAAGAGTTATTATTAGGAAATTCTTAGATTAAAAAAAAAAGAGTGGAATAGACCAATTAATGTGGTCCTCGTTTAGTTTTGAAAAATTAAATAGGCAGATAAAAATGTTAACATAGGGATTTAAACTCATGAACTCCAACTAAATTTGAATACTCTTTGTCGCTACTCTAGCCTACCTTTCACAATTGCTTCTGTTCAAAATATAATGTATACCCATAAAAGGTGTTATTTGGCTTATATACGCCGTATAATTTTCCGGCGAACAATGTTCACTTGACCATCTTTGAAACTATGTAACTATGCCATTATTAGTGTGGTTTTTAATATATGCTAGCAGGTTAATATATTACCATTTAATTCTTATCATAGAAATTATGCTAGCAGGTTAATATAGTGCAAGTTACTATGGAACATATGCAAGCAGAAGGAAAAGTTATGGATACAATGGGTTAATGCTTATTACATAAAAGGGAATACAGTATGGAGTACAACACATAAGAATGCATCTTGGGTCATTCAACAGATCTTCAAGGCAAAAGAGTATTTTGAAAATACTGGCTACACTGAACAAGAGGTGCAGAGGATAGACAGCTTCTCAATCAAACAAATGTATAAAGCCATGCAAGGGGAGTTCCAAAAGGTAGCTTGGAGGAAAATAATATGCAATAACTATGGACTTCCAAAATAGATATTCATATTGAGAATTGCAATTCTGGAAAGATTGGCAACAAAGGAAAGATTAGCAAGATGGGGAGTAAATATAGAGACCACATGTGCACTATGCCAACAAGGCACTGAAACAGTTCAATATTTATTCTTTGAATGCGAAATGACAGGAACAATATGGCAGCAACTGCTACATTGGCAAGAAATACATAGGAAGAAGCTGAAATGGCAAGAAGAACTGGCATGGATACAAAGAGTAGCAAAAGGAAGAAGTGGAGGAGCAACTTTATGCAGAATGACTTTAGCTGTTGCAGTTTATTATATATGGCAGGAAAGAAACAATATCATCTTCAAACAGAAAAGAAGAACAGCAGCAACCAATTCTTTTCGAAGAACGGTGCAATCGAGGAGCCATAGCTATTTCAGCAGGCGAAAGGCCTACTGGAATCTCGTTGAGGTCAGGAAGCATTAAGTAAGGTGATTGTGCTCTTTATTTGCTATTCAGGAAATCCACATTAGAACCACCATGTTTCCTAGGTTAGAAAGGAATATGACCAAAGTGAACTGGTACCCGGATACAATGGAACAGTGATAGAGGCTAGAAAAGTAGGAAAGTAGAATTGTAGAAGGACCCAAATTGGAGCTACATGTCCGGTGGGGTAGTTTGCTCGTTTGTCTCTCTTGTACATATTTTCACTTGGTAAATAAAGTCAATTAATATCAACAAAAAAAATCTTATCATAGAAATTGGCCTGTAATTACAAATAACTCCTACTTATCATAGAAATTGAGTTGTAATTACATTATAAATTACTTAATTTATAAATACACTGTCAAACTCTGTCCAATATATTTCAACTTCCTTTTTCAACTAATTAAGTGTTGGGGAAATTGTATGAGGGTCATCCACGAGAAAGGTCACATACCATGGTGGTCTTAATCGATGAGACATTTGTTATGAGTTCATTATGGAAAGTAGAATTCAGACAACGGCTAATTAAATATGTGTGCATACTACTTAATCACCTCTTACATATTCAATTATTTATATGATTTTTTGATTTAGAATTTTTTTTTTAAAAAAAAATATTCATGAAACAAACTTGAGAAAATCCCTCGCTTCCTCTCCTACCTAGTTAGATCCGAGCACCTCTCAAATCTCAATCCAACCTCCTTCTCCATCACTCACTTTCTTCTTCCTCCTACTCTACCGCTTCTGCTCAACAGGGAATTCAGCACCATAACACTTTGAAACTCTAAAATAAACAAACTTAATGAGTCGTTGGAGCAATAATAATAATAATGACTTCTTCTTCTTCTCAACGACCGGCATTTGGCCTTAGCTACCTTCGCAAAACTGTAACTTGGCTATTTATCACCTTATTAATCATCTATCTTCTTTACTCTTTCACCCTAATTCTCAATAAAGATTCTGAATGTACCAATTCTTCCTCAGACTTATCCACAAAAGAAGCTTTTTCTCTCCCTCCACCTCCACCTTCTCATTCCAAAAACTCATCTTTTCAAGAAAATTCAGGGGAGCCTGAAACAGGGCTACAACACATTGTATTTGGAATAGCAGCGTCTTCGAATTTGTGGGATAAAAGAAAAGAGTACATAAAATTATGGTGGAAGCCAGGGGAAATGAGGGGTGTAGTTTGGTTAGACAAAAATGTTACAATTAAGAAAAATGAAGGTTTGCCCGAAATTCGTATTTCAGGGAACACAACTAAGTTTCTTTACACGAATCGACAGGGGAACAGATCAGCTCTTAGGATTTCACGTGTGGTTTCGGAGACATTAAGGTTAGGTCTTAAAGATGTGAGATGGTTTGTAATGGGAGATGATGACACAGTTTTTGTTGTGGATAATGTTGTGAGAGTGCTTTCAAAATATGACCATAACCAGTATTATTACATTGGGAGCTCTTCAGAAAGTCATATTCAGAACATATTTTTCTCATATGCCATGGCTTATGGTGGGGGTGGATTTGCTATTAGTTATCCATTGGCTAAAGAGTTAGAGAAAATTCAAGATCGTTGCATTCAGCGATACCCTGGATTATATGGAAGTGATGATCGAATTCAAGCTTGTATGGCTGAGCTTGGTGTCCCTCTTACTCGAGAACCTGGATTTCATCAGGTAATTTAACTGAATGAAATTCTTGTTTTCCTAGCACATTATTTGGATCACACACAAGTTGTTCCTTTTGTATCGTTCGTACAGTTTAACTTCTATACACTAATAGTGTAAAAGAATTTTTGCTCCGCTTAAAAGATAACTATAGGTAACCTTTCATAATTAGTTGGATTAATAATCTGGAAAATAAAGGCTTCGACAATCATCCTTGATTCATGTTACTTGGATGGAAGTCTTGTTTTTCGACCGCATTATTTGGAGCATATATATATATATATATATATCCAAACTAGTTCTTCTGCGAAGAGTTTAATTTTTGTGCATTGACAATATAGAGTTTTCTTAATATTACTTAAAATAATAGGAAACTGTTTATAGTAATCCTAATTTGGTAACATAGATGTTTCAAATAAGCTGCTATAACTGAGTAAAATAGACTCATAGTGTAAAACTTCTTTACACATAGAAGTCAAATTGTTCATAAGAGTCGTAACCAAACTTTCATGCATTACTAGGCTATGCAACTATAATATTTGGTCCAAGAGCCACGATACCAAACAATCCAAGTAAATGAGAAACTCACTCTCATTTCATTCTATGACTATCAACTCCTTATTGAAAATTGTTATTTTACATCATTTGTTTATGCATCGAATAAAAGCAGTTTTAACTGAAGTTGATGAATTTTTCATTAATTTGTGGTAGTATAGTATGATGTGTATGGGAACTTGCTAGGCCTTTTGGGAGCACATCCTGTAACACCTCTGGTATCAATTCACCATCTAGATGTAGTGGATCCTATAATCCCAAGAATGAGCAGAGTTGATGGACTCCAACGCCTTTTTGAATCGATGAAATATGACACAGCCAGCATAATGCAGCAGTCAATCTGCTACGACAAGCAAAAATACTGGTCTTTTTCAGTGTCATGGGGCTATGTGGTTCAGATCACAAGGGGTAATATCTCTCCTAGAGAATTAGAAATGCCCACAAGAACATTTCTTAACTGGTACAAAAGAGCTGATTACACAGCCTATGCATTCAACACTAGGCCCGTGACTAAGCACCCGTGCCAGAAGCCTTTCGTCTACTACATTAGCACAGCCAAATTTGATCGAAGCAAAAATCAGATCGTTGGGATTTACCATCGTCATAGAGAGTCGTATCCTTATTGCAGGTGGAAAATTGAGTCACCTGAGAATATCAACGCCATTGTTGTCTTGAAAAAGCCCGATAACGATCGTTGGCGAAAAGTAAGTTACCTTGTCGTGAAATTTCTCAAGATTGATCCCTAAGGACTATGTACTAAGTGGATTATATTATGATTTGCAGGCACCGAGAAGGGATTGTTGTAAAGTTCTACCATCAAACAACTCCAATTTGTACATTTGGGTAGACAATTGCGGAAAAGGTGAAACCAGTGAAATGTAGTTGTTAGAAGGAGGGCTATAGTTTTTCTTACTCTATTTTTTTCTACTCATCAGCTGTACCTGTAGATTAGGATAGGAAATATTCTATGTTGAGAACAGAGAATTTTATAATTTTGCAACTTAAATGATGCTAGTACTAGACTAACACACAGTGGATAGCCAAAAATGTATTTTGCTTCAGCTAGTAAAAGCAATATACAAATTTTAACCAACATACTGCAAAGCTATGTTAACCGCATGAAAAGTTAGATTCCAACCTAAACATGTCCAGAAAATACAATCAGAATATAAAACATAGAGATAATAACACTAAGAATGATTTTTAGGAACAAAGAGAATCCAGAAATGAAGGAATGACTTTTAATTATAGTTGAGACATTGCCCACTAATTCTGGTTGAAACGATAGTAATTCCTACTCGGTACTTTCATGTTACTTGTCCAGTTTGGAACAGATCAAACGGAATAAAAATGGGAAAACTCTAGACTAGACTACCTTTTCTAAATGAATTCACCCTAAGAGACAACTATTTACAGAGTCAACGAGCAATAATAACAAACAAAAAGCTATTATTTGATGATTCCATAATTGCAAAATGAAGGTGGTTATCATTCGGATACAGAGGAATGTCGTTGAGCATAATTATTCTTCCATTTCTTATCTCAAATCTCACTTCATATCTGTGGAGACCTCAAGAGGAACTAATAAGAACCCATTACAATATTGCTCCTCGTGTGTTGGGGACACTTCATTATATTTTCAATTTTGGTCATTTTGATCAACCCCATTCAATGCTCCACAATATTGCTCATCGTGTCTGCTGCAGTTTCATTGTTCACATTCTGTATATGGATCGACTCTCAGAGGATGATAGGAATTTCAAGTTGTTAATATCCTTCTTGGATGATGCAGTTTGGCAGGTGAAATGATTCTTTCACTCATCAGAATAGGATGCTTTTGCCCCTTGTCTCTAATTTTTTGTGACATCTATTTTCTTCCTTTTGTGAAACTGTCCGATTTTAAGGTAAAATTTAATGTTTCTTTAATTTATTTTATTTTTTAAAATAAAAATAATAAAATCGAGCAGTTCATCGACAACATTGAAGAATTTTCTGTTAAAAAGTTTATTCATTGCCAGTTTGAAGCCAGAAAAAAAAAAAAAAAAAAAAAAAAAAAAAATGAGAGCTCCGACAAGCTGACAGCCATCATAAAAACTATTCTATTTATGATGAATCCTCGCAATACAAAATACCTGGGATTGAGACATAGCTGTTGTTATTCTAGTATATCATTGAAGCGTCGAGTTTTTACATATATACTATGAAGTGGAACTTGGATTTACACCATAGTGCCATATAAGTTGGGGACTGTAGGATATACAGAAGATTGTGCCATAGGACATCTTTATTATGTCCATTATATGATTTTAAATCTGCACCTGTAATTTATGTGACCCAAAAAATATGACAACCACGTAACTTTGTGTGTTTTTCTCTTGTTTTAGTCCTCAAGCTCTGTTGTTATCATGTCCATCACCATTACCAGGATTTTTCATCTGTTTTAGATTTGTGAAAAGATTGACTTTTGGTGGACTTTCGGACAGGAGGCTCAGTTTCGGGGTCATACTTTTGGGAGGCAAGGTAGTTCAAAGCAGTGACGATGTCAACAATGGGAGGACGCATATTAGGTTGTTCCTGGACACACATTGCAGCAATTGCAAGAGCTTGGTATAAGCTCCTAATTGGATATTGACCTTCAAGTGCTGGATCTGCCATCTTGTAGAATTTCTTCCTGTCTTTGAATAATGGTCTTGCCTGCAAATGAAGATTGGCATCTCTTGAAAATATATAAAAAAGGTGTACCCTCCCTAACAATTTAACCTTTTACAAGAGGTGGTCACACATGGTTAACAAACGAAGGATTCAGTAGCATATATGCACAAGTAATATAAGGCTCGCCTTAGTTCACTCCTGACTAATCACAAATCTTGAAAGGGGTGTCATAATGTTAACAAAGCACTCCGTTTTCCTCTATCAGGAAACAAAGCGTAAATTTGATTTGCAAACATACACAGATAACAACATAATCATCCAACACCACAAAATTAAATTGCAGCAACTGGAATTAATTCAGCTGTTTATCTGATATTGCTGCGTCCAGAAGTGGGCAAGACAGGCAGGAATATGCATGTTTACACTATATCAACAGATATCTAGTCCTTAAAGCAGTATTATATTCCAAATTGGCACTGTACTGTTCTTACAAGTTTGCAAGAAATGGACAGAAACTTTTTATGAGTCATAAAAGAACGATCCCTTTTAATCACTCACATTAAGCACTCTGGAACATTTGTACTAGCGCTTATTCACCTGGCTGCCCAACTATGTACAATGTTTACTATGAAAAGAAAAAGAGAAGGCAGTGGAAGTAAATCACTACCCAAACAAATAATACATGACACCTTAAATGTACCAAAAATGAAAGATGATTCCAGTAAATGCATATCGACTTTCTCAAGCAGAAATCTCCATATATTTATAAGGTCAAGAGCCTCTTATCTCAACCTCATAAACCACAGACGACCTCCATTCTGATAAAAAAAATGACTGAAAGACTTGTACAAATAACAACAAATTGATTGGAAGTAGTTTAGTAACATCGATTTCCTCTTAGAAAAATGAGAATGATGTCAATTAAGTAGCTAGGAGGCAAGGAGAACTCACAAAAACATATCACGTGGCAATGATATAAGAGAGAAAGGAAACTCACCCAAGCAACCAGATTTTGCTCCGCGACAGATTTTGTATAGTCAATCGCTCTCCTGCCCGTGATTATCTCCAGAAGAACAACTCCAAAGCTATAGATATCAGACTTGAAAGTCAGTTGGCCAGTCATAGCATAATCTGGTGCACAGTATCCATATGTGCCCATCACTCTGGTGGAAACGTGAGTCTTGTCTCCACTAGGACCCACTTTAGCCAAGCCAAAATCAGATAACTTTGGATGATACCCCTCATCAAGCAGAATATTGGAGCATTTGAGATCACGATAAATTATAGGAGGCTTCATCTTATCATGTAAATATTCCAGGCCTCTTGCAGCACCTGCAGCTATCTTCATTCTAGTGTTCCAATCAAGAGGTTTTTGATTTGGCCAGGGGTCTGCGCAAAATAGGCATGTTTATCAGGATGGAGGGAGCTAAGATTGGAAGAAGATAACATGAAAAGCAAACAATTATTTATAACATACCATACAAATGGTCTTCCAATGAACCAAGAGGCATGTACTCATAGACCAATAGCCTTTGAACTCCCTCGGCGCAACAACCAATAAGTTTAACAAGATTAGGGTGGTCAGCCTTACTTAGTGTCTGTACTTCAACAACAAATTCCCTAACTCCTTGACATCCATACGGATCGAGTTGTTTGATGGCGACAATCTGCATTAGCAAAAACAAATATTAAAGAACAAACATCCTCAGGCCTAAGTGAACAGACCAATTATTCCTAATGTTAAACCACTCACTTACTGCAAGAATGAAGGGGATGTAAATTTATAAAAAAAAGGAGACATATGCAAATAATCCTGTTGTTTATTGCAGCCATTAAGGGAAAATTGATAAGTAGGAGCACAAGAATGTAGTTGAACTGACCTCACCAGTATCCAGCAAATGACCTTTATATACTTTGCCAAAACCGCCTTCTCCCAAGAAGTAATCTTCCTTGAAACTATCTGTTGCAGCTACCAATTCATCAAATTTAAACCGCCGCGCCTTAGCACCACCAGTTTTTCCATCAGTGGGAGGGGTGTTGTTGCTATAATCCCCTTCTTTCCTAGACGTAGATCGGTTTGCATCTTTAGCCTCTTCATTCTTCACAAATTTAAATTGACTAGCCACCAGCGTATCTAAGGCACACAAAAAAACAAGAGGCACCAAAAACGTGGGAGTTTGAAACGAAGGAGGCCTCATTTGAAAGAGCACATGGATAGTAAATGGCCAAATTACTGATTCCAGCAAAGATTTTCACATTGTAGTACACAAAGAATTGCAAACAAAGATTCATACACAGAAAGGACAAAATTAAGAGAATCAGATTTTCAACAAAATATACTACTCTGTGGTACTGCAACAAACACCACCATCCAAATTCCAAACCATACCCAACAAGTTTTCTTAAAAAAAACAAATGAGAGAATTCAGAAAAACCAATAAATGACGTCTGCAATTGTTGCTAAATAGTAAATATACATCACCCTGATTCAAAATACTCAAGCCACTAAAAGCAGAATGGACACGCCCATCAAATATTCATCCTTTTTATTCCTTCCATGGAAATTTCAAAGAACATCAGGAATTTCACATCCCATAAAACATGCATAAAAAGAGAATATATAGGCAAAAAGAGAGCTGCATAGACAAACCATTGGTTTTTAAACGCGAAACCAATTGTAAATGGATGTACAGAACATACAACTTTAACATGTCACATCTATGTATGATCTAACGATGAAAATTATTCAAAAAAGATTAGCCAAATATTAGATGCATGCAACAATAAAAACAGACGATCAGTTCAAAACAAACGAAAAATTCACAAAACGGGTTGATTCAGAACAAAAGTTGTTGGCAAAAATCCACATTAAAATTTCCAAAATGCACAAAAAAGGAATAATCTTTACGAATCAATCATGTATAAAGCTCATACCTTGTTTAGGCTGAGGCTGATGATTAACCCTTTTGTATTGGTTATTGGTATGAATTATTTTTCTCTCCGGTTTCTTGATTGATGTATCTCCATCTCCAGAACAAGGGAAACAGCCCATAATTATTTTTTTAAACTATCTATAAAACCACGGCACTGCCTATATTCTGTTCAATATGACTTTTCTACACGTACCTAATTCTTGTTCTCTCTTCTTTTTCTCAAAAACAGAACCCAACAGGGAAATGGGGAATGGAAGAATTTTATTTTTATAATCAATAAGAGTTACAAAACTCTCAGTTTTTTCCTTAAAAAGAGAGAAAGAAGAGAAAAAATTAGAGAGAGAACATATAGCTTAACCATTTTATACGTTTTTTTTCCCCTTAATTAACAAGGTAGTCTTTTTCTGGGGTTTTGTTTTTGTGGTGCAAATGCATGACATTTTTTTCTGGTATAGTTGATCCTCTGATTAGCTGCCACGTAATACTACCTAGATTTTTTGGTCGCATCTTGTAGTGCGTCACATCAACATTTCTTGTCGTCAGAGCTGACTCACCTACTAGATGTATAATTGTTTACCAACGTGACAATTGCTATACCAATATACTCTTCCTTTTACGTGAAAGTGTTTGATGAGTATGAAATTAAGAAACTTTTTTTTTTTTAAATTATGGTATTAGATATAATATTTTTAAGGACATAAAATCATTTCATTAATAATAAAAAATCAAAAGTTAAATTATTTATAATTATGAAAATATGTCATTCTTTTTTGGACATACTAAATATAGAAAGTGTATCATATAAACTAAACTATTACTATAATAGCTTAAAAATAATTTACTCAAAAGATTTTAACATATTATATCAAGTTATGTCTAGTATTTATTTCAGGCAATCAATAGAAAATTATACAGGGTAATTGTCTTTTAAGTATTGTGTATAGTTTATTTATTGTTACTAACATATGAATTTTAAATACAATGAATATAATTTTGTATTACTCTTGAAATTTAAATTGACTTTATCCTGTATGACTTTCTCAAATTATATTGATATTTAAATTTATCAATAATATTTACTAATATTATTTATTTTTTAAATTTTATCAAATAAATTTAAAGTGTGGATAGAATCACATTATATCCATTCTCATCTTTATATATTAGTTTTTGTTCTACAATATTTTAATTTTTTCATTTAGTGTTTATCTATAATATGAATATTATTTTATTATTTTTCTAAATGGATGGTGTTGAATTAGTTCAAATGCTAAGAGCCAGTTTAGATTGGTTTAAAAAATAGCTTTTCAGCATTAATAACTTTTAAGTTAAAAAAAATAATAAGTTGGGGATGCCTAACCTATTGCTTTTGGCTTGTTTTAAGCAATTTTTAATTTATTTTAAGCACTTTTTAACTTTTTCAAATATGAAAAAAAACTAAAGAGAGCGTAAAAGCTGATTTGACCAGCTTAAAAGCAATTCAAACGCCCTCTAAATAGAGAAGTTCTTTTATTATATGTCATAAATCTACTAATAATTGTAACAATTATTAATTTTGTATTATTTTCAATAAGAAAAAAAAAATTGAATTCTTCTTTCCGTTTGTAATTTATATGTGTAATATCTCATATTTAAAATAAAGACATATTGATACCCCATAAGAAAATAAAACAATAAAGGTATGGGGAAATGGGCCAAAGCCCATAAGAATACAACCTAATTATTGGCTGCAAACGTAACAATACAAAAGAGAATATAGGGGTTGAATTTTTGGCTCTACACAACAACAAAACTTGAAACAAACGAAAGGGAAAAAGAAAGTCGATGCAATGTTCGGAACCATATTAACAATGGAGAAAAATCTAAAGCTACTACTTATCTCGGGTATTACTTGAACTTCAAATCTTTTAGTTTTGTTTTATGTGTTGTGGGATTCCATAGAGTATTGAAAACTAAATACCAATAAGAAATAATATAAACATCAATTCACTGAGTTTCGGCAGAAGCAATCGAAGTCAATGGAAAAGAAAGTTATTTCTTTCTAGCGAAAGAATTTATGGAGTGGAGAAGAACAAGCTAGGTAATTGAAAACCTCTTTCCTTAGTAATTTATCTGAGATTTTCTTTACTTAATACCTAGCTTATTATTAGTTATTGAATTTTAACTAAGGGTAGAGACAAGAAAAAGGACTTAGTTATGGTTGATTTGTACATCCAAGAAAAGATTTTTTTTTTTTAACATTATAACTAATAAATTATCTGAACACTTTTCTTAGAAGATACTGGACTAGGTTAGGTTATTTGAGAATTAAACGAGATATCCAAAGAGTTGGGTATACTGGTTGATTTGGAGAAAGCAAGTCATATCGTGGAATGAAAACAGGGAAAGAATTAAGATCAATAAAATTTAACCGACTATATTAGTGCTCGTGAAGTTGATATGTAGATTGCTTTTGTAATGATATAGGTAGTTGAAGAAGTCGAACGAAGTGCTCGCAGCGACAAGTTCGATATTTCGGCACGAGAACTGTGAGTAGTAATCTTACCACAATTTGTGTTTTCACAACCTGCATGGTTTATACGTTATTTTGAAAATAAAATGTGTTAATGAATGTTTAGAATTGCATGTGGGACAAGTCCTTTACTTGATATGGTACTGAACAGTTTACTGGAGATGTTAACCGTTATTTAACATATTCATATTTTACTGTTACTTAAGATATGGTTACCATTACCGAAATGGATTTACATGATTTAATAAGAATTGAAATACCCTTTATTATTTTGAAAATGCTTTCTTATGAATATTTACTGGTTACAAGAAAAAGTATAAATGGGAGGAGACTTTGAAGGATCCCGTAGATAACGACGGGTTCGTTAGACCTGGTGCACCTTGTATTTACCGATTACTGAGTACAGTTATAGCCCTCGCTAGTGGGAAAGTAAAACTAGCATACAGTTACAGTTTTTCGCTCGAGTAGGGACCTACAGTTATATTTAACTCCTTTTACGAAGGGGTCCACACAGTGATACAGACTACATGATCTTTTCTTAAAAATCTCCTAAACATAAAGATTTTCTATGAGATAGTGTTTACCGAGCTTATTACTGAATTATTAAATTGATTTTATTACAGAAAACACATGATGAGACTGATTATTGTTTATTGTTTCTGAAAGGACATTCTTATGATATTTTCTGATTATTATACTGGTATATTTTCTGAATTGTCCCTATTAAAAACTATTGTGGTTAAGTGTTATTACTCACTGAGCTAGCATCTCACTCCTCGCTATATTTTGTTTTCCAGAGACAATAGTTTAATTTTTCGAGGATCTTATTAGCTAGAGCGTACAAGTTGGAAATTCTGGTGAGCCCCACATTGCTTCGCGTGGGCAAAGAGTTTATTTAATAGTTATCGCCCTTTTCTTTAAAACTCTTAGAGTTGCTCCATAGTCATTTTAATAGTGCCATGTGAATTAATTATCATTTTCGACTTGTTCACTAGATCGAACTTTCTTATCGTATTTTGGAGATAGATTTAGCATCACGGTCTTACAAGTGATTGATTAATAGTGATGGAAATCTGACTGGGTAGTCGATGACGATTATGAGCTATTTTGTTGGATATTGATTGGTTTTGTTGTTGCTTTTTGAGACAGGTAATTTTTGGATAGTCCTAAAATAGGGGAAACTCTGTCCGATTTTCTGTAAAATACCGATGATGCTTACTTGGGGGCATTTACTCCTAAGTGCCGGTCATGATCCTTAATTGGGTCGTGACAAAGTTGGTATCAGAGCCAGGTTATTCTTGTGACTAATGAGCACACATCAGTAGTAGAATCTCAATTATGGTTATGTAACTGGTCATTCCCATAATCGTGATTCTTCGAGGACGTGATAGGATATTTGTGTCTTTCTTTCTTATTCCTCTGTACGTATGTGGCGATTAGGGTCAAATAACTGAATCTGTCATTACTTATCCTATTCGTATATGGCTCAGACCAATTATCATATAATAGAATTTGGCTAGAGGTTCAAACTTTAAAGACGTCAAATTTCGTCAATGGACATGCAGCCATCTCCAAGCAAAGCGCTATACAAGTAGTAAAACGTCTCAAGAAGATTTAATATAAGAGCAGCTTTCAACATTAATATGCATCAGTTCCAATACCACATAAGTATGCATCATACGTGCGGATCAGTTGGCACATAAGCATGCATCAGTTGTAACAAAACATGTTGAGCAAATGCAAAAACCATCATGTATGCTTAAAGCTATCTTTCAAGCTTCTTGCCCACCCCTTAATAGCATAACAAGGAGATTTGTGTGCAATTAACCAGAAGCAATAAACAAAGGCAAAAATCCCGATAGCCAACCAAAATGTATAGTATTAGAAGTAATAGAAACATACCCAACCCCAAAAAAATTACCTCAATGCATATGATGAAATCTTGAACGCTGGATTTAAACTGCAAAGCTTGAGCTATTGGACTTCTAAAGAAACCAAGTGTAGAAAACAGGGCTATCACCACGCCTTGCCACCAAGTTAAGAAAACAATTGACTTGAATGTTAGAAACTTGTACAGCGGCTTGATGTGAGATAATTCATCCTTTGTAATAGTATAAAATTGAACTAAGCAATACAATGCCCATGATTGACTGAAATTTAAAACCACAGCCATATACGGATACCTACAAAGACAAGGCATACAATGTAAGAGATATCTTGGACCATTTTACATTAGTTACATGGTCTCCCTTGTTAACAATGCTTTCTGGTCCTGCAAGCAGATAGTGAATGACTTGAAATTCACAGTAACCCATGCAGTGGAACCTGTAGAGAAAGGAATTCAAAAATTACATAAAATCTCTCAGAACATAAAGAAACACGACAAAGGGAGAAAAACTAAGGACGACAGTGACGTTACCACATCATCTCCAACACGAAGAGTCATACGTGGGATAGATGATCCCCTTTTGAACGGTAGCGTTAGTGATAGTGGCATTTCTAGGAAGAAGAAGCACCGTAAAAAATCTGGAAATACCAGTGCAGAAAGTGGTGGAGAGAGTAGCACTGATCAGAACTTTGGTGGTATTCAAGTTCGTGGTCGAAGGTGGGTTACTAAGGATTAACAGAAGGTCTGAGAAGAAAATTTCCAAACATTTGTATGTATGCATCTGTTGCTTTGGAAGCCTGCGGTGTTTAATTCTCCACTACATTATTCTTTTGCTCTTCCTACGGGCTTCGTTTACTTGCCATCTTTAGAAATGAAAGTGCTATATTTTATGAAAGCACTTCTTGATTGATTTTTCTGTCATTGTTGTTGCACATAATGGGTCTTGGAATCTTGTATAGAGTTATGTATGCTCCTGAATGTATGATCCCTCACTATAGCTGAATCAGTTAGCCGCTTATGGTTCTTCATTATAAACGTGGTTGGTAAATATTATTGCGCGCCACGAGCTTTTGTCAAGGATAAAAGATATTCGGATTGAAACAGT